CACCAAAGCCCGGAGAAGTGGAACGCACACAATGCCTCCCTTATAGGGCTCGAGCAGGGGAACTGGGCATGCTCAGTAGCCAAAGCAGATTTTTTTTTTTTTTTCGGTCGCAAGTGCGGCATCTCTCCCGGTCCCACACCTCTTTCCTCTACCCCTGTCCTCGCTCCCCACCCCCTACTCCTTAATCACCCGGCTTAACCCGTTCTGCGCCGCAGGCCCGCAGAGTTCTGAACGCAGAGGATGAACTCGTCTCCCAGCCCCGCTCCACAGTCTCACTTTGGGCGAAAACCTCTCACTTTTGCCTTCAAGCCCCCGGCTCCTGAAGCGCAGACAGGTAGGGAAGTGTGACTACTACTGGATCCCAGGAAATCGGTCCCGAGAAGGCTGCATCCCAGACCTCCGGCTGCCCAGAAGTCAGCCCGGAGCCCTCCGCTCTGCAGGGTGACAATTAGCCAAAGGTACCGTGCCGCGATGTCAAAGCCAAGTGCGATTGTTGCCTCCGAATGTCATTGTTGTGGACTCATCCCCCTCCTCGCTGGAATTATTCAATTCCTCGTAGACTCGACGCCCCTCTTCACCTCCCTCGGCCCCCTCCCCCAGGCTCTCCGAGGTTTCTTGGGCTTCGCCTGGGTCCTCAGCGGGGCTCTCCCCCGGAACGCCCCGAGTGTGAGTGTGCGTCTGCCTGTGTGTGCTTTTTGGGGGGACTAGGGGGAGAGAAAGGGCGCTTATGTGTGCGCGCGTTGGTGGCAGGGGGTGGAGGGGCTGGCGGCGGCTCGCCCGCGGTAGCGGGCCCAGGGTCTTTGCGGGAAGAAAGGGTCGCTCCTCCCCGGGGAGTGCTTTAGGCTGGAAGAGGGGGCGGGTGCCTGGAGGCGAGCGCGCTGTCCACCCCCCACCGCCTGTGGGCAGGAAAGGCGCGGGTGGGGGCCGCCGAGGGGCGAGGGCCCGGGTGCGGGGTCGGGGTGGACGCGGGAGGCGGGAGCGGGGGCGGGGACTGGGCGCGGG